GCAAAGTACATTCATAAAGTAATTAATATTAATTAATTAATTAATTAATTAATTGGTTTTAGCAATTAGATGAAGTGAAAGGTGACGGATCAATTAATGAAGCAATTAGGTATTAATTAATTTATTAATTAATTAATTTATTTATTATTGAATTTATTAGACAGATTGGTTTAGCTGATGTTATTATTATTAATAAATGTGATTTAATTAATGATGATGAAATATCAACAGTGATTCAAAGAATCAGGTTAACACTTAACACTGATTCTGATATTGATTTGATTTAATAGGTCTATTAACTCTATGGCTAATTTTATACAAACAACTAGATCAAAGTAACGTTGATCATTATTATTATTATTATAATCATCATTATTGTTGTTGTTGTTGTTGTTGTTGTTCATAATTTGTTGTTGTTTTAGGGTTAATCTTGATGATATTTTAGATATCAATTGTTATACTACCAGTGATAAGTAATTACTGATTCTATTTTTAACCCTTTTAATTCTTCCTTCAGGTCCATTGGTAAAATTGAATTATATTCACAATCAATGACTGATCAGTATCACATTGATAAGGTATTTTATTTATTTAGGCATTTGCTATTTATTTATTTATTTATTAGTCAGTAAATACTGTTACTTTTGAAGTAATTGGATCAATTAATGAAAATAAACTGGAGGAGTGGCTACAAGTAATATAATTTATTATTATTATTGAATTAATGATTAATTAGGAGTTATTGTGGGAGAAGTCAATAAAGAATAAAAATGGAAAAGAAATGAACATAATGAGAATGAAAGTATCGACTTAATGTTTATTATTATTATTTATTATTATTTATGTCTAGGGTTTATTGTGTATTGAGTCCAGTACAGTTAAGGTGATACTCCAGTGTGTCAATGAGTTATATGAACTGATACCAACCAGTGGATGGGAGGAGAATGAAGAACATATCAATAGACTAGTCTTTATAGGTAATAGAGGGACTGGAGGGAGAGTAGATAGTACTGTATAGCTGTAGTGTGTGTATTATGATTTCCTTTTATTATTTATTAGGAGTCAATTTGGATAGAGAATCATTATTGATGTCTTTTAATACCTTTACAAAACAGTAAAAAATAATTTTTTTTCATTTATAATGAGGTGCCTCTTGCTCCTTTGCGTTGATCAGTTCAACAATAAGCC